GCGACTACTTACGCGACGGGTCAATGGTGCCAGGCGGGTCCATGATGCCGTTGGCAAAGCCACCATTCGACATGATTTGTATAGGGTGTTGCACATGCACTGAGTACATCCAGGCGGCGCAAGAGCAACCGAGCTCGAAGGAAGCTTCCGTCGAGCGTCGCGAAGCTCAAAGGGTGGCCAATGGGCGCGGCGCAGTCAGGACAGCTGGACGCACGGGAGTCGGCAGCGGTCGCTGGGGAGCATGTGTTGGAGGCGATGGGAGCAGTGTCGTGTCGGCGCGGTCGAACCAAGGTTCAAGTTCGGCAGGTGCGGGTGGGGCCAAGACTCGCCGGGAAGGCGCGTTCGGTCGGGGAGGGCAGGAGCGTCCCAGCAGCGAGAACAGCGTCGCGGAAAATGCCAGAACAGGTGGTACAAACGCAATGTTCCGAATCCGACGGTGCTCGCGGATCGATACAGGCTAGGACGCGGTTAGGTTTGAGCTTGAGGTGACGGCGCGCCCTGGCAATAGCAGAGACACGACACGTGCAGGCAGGCAGGGACAGACACTGCGAGCAGCCGCTGTAAGGTGACTTGCAGGGCAGGACAGGTGTCGGGGCGAGCGAACGGTTGGGGGGAACGAACCTTGGGCGGTGCAGGCTGTCTAACCAGCGACAGGAGCCCTTGGTGCAAGATATGTATGGGCGGCTGTGTGGGCGTGTGGGCGATTGGCGCGGCGGCGTGAGCTGCGAGTGCGGGAGCAAAGACCACTGGGTGCTTCTGCGAGCGACGGACTGGGAATCGGGTTATGGTGAATTACGAAATGGGAGCGAGGCCCAATCTGATATGCCCTGCAACCCCAGCAGCTGACGGCCCGCGCGGCGGACGTCCAAGTCGTCTAGTGAGCAAATGGCACGCACTGACAATGGCGACAAGCTTCAGGCAGGAGAGGCGCTGCGCTCTGCTAGCTGCAGTGTGATAAAAAGTGGCTCTCCCGCGGCCCTGCACGAGCCGGTGGCTTTTCACTACCTCTCGAGCGCACGGAGCCGAACAGCATTACTTGCATCATGCTGCGCGATAGCGACCACTAGCTTGGATCTCGCTGAGCGATTCCGTCTCCACCGCAACAGGCCAAGCACCCGCGCGCGCCGGGCCTTGCTCTCTATCACGGCCAGTCTGCGCGAACGCGAGGCCTGGGTCATCAGCGCTGCCTATCCACCTCTCCCCAGTGACTCCCCACCACTCACGAGCCCGCACGCTGCTGATTGAGCAGCTCCCGACAAGGCGACCGTGTCAGCAGGCTGCTATCGAATCATTGATTTTAGACCCGTGGGCCTGCAGCGCGCCCAAGACAGACTACCCAGGCCTGCATTGGCGGCCGCCGTCGTCATGCATTCGACCTTCTCTCTCTATCAATCAACCCGTATCGTCTGACTCCCCCAGCGCCCGTCGCCATGCTACCCCAGCCCGCTCCTGCTTGCCGCAACAGCCGAATAAGGAAGCCCGACTTAATTGCGCTGCATCGGTCAAAAGCTACTCCTGCCTGCTCGTATTCCCGCTACTCCGTCGCGACGTCTAAAAATGCTGCGCTGATCGCCGACCTTTGCCTTTGCTTGTGCAATTCGTTTTCCTCTAGCATTTCCTAGGCCGAGTGGAGGCTCGTCCTCTCGTAGCGCCGTCGGTCTCCGCGGGCCTATGACCAGCTGCTGCAGCTGAAAGCTCAAGCCGATCCATTGCACCGGAATCGCTTCCTACCAGACACTGCTCTCTAGCCCGCGCATCCAGTTACAGCGCTTGGACGCTTCGATATTCATTCTTCGTTCCGTGTGGACAGCACCCTCATCGCAGAGTTGGCGATCTGTTCCACCAAGCGACCCGTTCCCCGCCGAACCAACAAGGGCACATGTCGACATGACCCTTGGCCTGCCCGTGCTGTAACCGATCCCCACCATGCTACCTTACCCATATCTCACATCCCTTCCGCAGCTCGCGCCACTACCTTAGCGGGAGTCGAAACGCCATGTCCGTTCGTCTTGCCTGTCTTGAGCGCTTGCTCTACCTAATTCCGTCCGTGCGCCGTGCCCTTTGACATGCTCTTGAAACTACGCGAGTGCAAGACGTAATCTATTCAGACGGAGAACACACTGTGTCTTCCTGTAAGCCGACGATGCCGGCACCCGCTTCGGCATGCTGGAAGCGCGCAGCCTTTCGCGTCTCTTTCCTGACGCGTTCTCGGGAGGCTGTGCCACATTGTTCCATGTCTTAGACCCTGAGGCCAAAGTTTGTCATCTGCCTCTCACTGCAGGGTCTAAACCAATTTAGAAACGTTGCCATTCTTTGTTTGCTAGAGCCTTTGTTGCGTCCGAACTCGGTACTCTCCAGTGGGGTACGAAGAAACAACACGGCCGATCAGTCTTCATCTATGGAGCCATGTTGATAGAGTGCAGTCGCTTATATCCGTTGCCTTCGTAACCCGGGACTACCACGCGAGTGGAACATGGCTCTCTTCTTCTATGGTCCAAAATATGCCATACATGTCGTGGGTAGGAGGGCGAGAACGGCTCCGACTTCTCGACATGTCGACCCCTCGTTAACATTCAACCAGCCTGACGTTCACCATCATGCTACTAAACCCGCACACCGCTGTCATGACACCTGTAGCGCGCTAAATACCAGGATCGTTGAAACATTCCAATGCAAATTCAAGTATTAGACCTAGTCCATATCTTGGCGGGGCACTACCGTCAGGCTAGGATAGCTGCTTGATCATATGACAGCTGTATCCACCGTCTTGGATCCCAGCTTCGGGAGACATCAGACGCCAAGATGGTCCCACGTTCAAGTTAGATTGAAGATCGCGGCGTACGGCGGTTGTAGCCGTTCCATGATATCGAGGCCATTTCACGTCGAGACCTCGTTTCAGAAATCCGAGGCAATGGAAAGGGTAGGACCATCCACTGGTGAGTGCTTGTTCTTGCAGCCAACTGCGGATGTCCCGTAAGCTAACACTGGATATGGCTTCCGTTTGGCCTCCCGTACGAAAGCCACATGCAGCGGGTCGTACAACCGTAGCGGTGAAGCACATCTCTTCTTCATCGGCTTTTGCAACACCGAAGCAAAAACAAATGTTGCTGCAACACCACGTACAAACGCAGGTCCGCTGTGTGAAAGTGTAATCAAATGTCCAGTATAGGGTTCGAGATCGTCCCCAACGGGCTCACTGTTCATGCTTCCATTTTGCCTGCAATCGCGGATCAGCTCCAACATGGTCCATTTGTGATTTTGAATCATGAAGATAGTGGGTGCTAGTGGCTTCGGCATGTCCCCAAGGCTCGCTAGAGAGTAGCTGCGCTATTGCAACCTAGAGACGAACCCCAGCCCCTTCGGATCCTCAATCCTGCCGGGCGCTGTCGTTCTTTCCATGTCAGATCATCGGCCTAGGCAAACTGCGTTCGAACGGTGAGGCGGTCCACTCCAGAGTGGGGAAGCGTGGCGAGGCTGCATCAACGTTTAAGGTAGTCGTGGCCAATCATCAGACCAGATCCAGCATTCGTTCGACGAAAAGACGGTCAGGTGCTACCAGTTGCGCCGAGGGCTTGAAAAGACCAGGGCGGTTATCGTATTTATCCATTCGTGCATCAGATGATACACATGAACGACCCGGAGATGAGTCCAAGTAGAACGTGATGTCTGTTGAGGTCGGGAAGCCTACGCCTACCGCCTTGAGTTAGATAGTCATCCACTCCCGCAGGTGAATCGGTGGGACCTAAAGAGAGACCCACGTATCCGATGGACCATACAGCAAGAGAACAAGGCTCACGAAGTTGGAGTCTCCACCGAATTCAGTCCGATGTAGTATTGGAGGTGGAGAGTGCGGTGAATTGAGCTCCACGCGTCCATCTAGCTGGATTTCCTCTTCCGTCTTCGAGTGTCATACAGACTTGATGCCGTTTAGATCCGCATCCCGAGTAGGATTCAAAGCAACTCGGTGTCAACACAATCGAGGCGGGGTTCAGTTAGCACAACCTACACCTGTCGTGTGAAACTCCTCAGTAATGCATTGAACATTCTCATCGTGCTAAATTTGGGCTGTCCATTGGTTTCGGTTCGCGACATTTCAAGAGCAAAGGCTCTCAGGCGTCAACGCTTGCTAGGCGACGTTCCGAGACCGGCTCCGTCAAGTCTTACTTGAAGCGACAAGCTGCAGCACACAAGTAAGCGCGTTAGTAGCCTTCTCAGGGAGCTGCGTCATTCTCCATCGAACATGCTTCGATAGTATAGAACCGAGGAGGAGGCGAGCATACCAACACCTGCACACTACTGCAATGTATGAACGGCAGCAGTCTAGTCGCACGTAGCTCTTGGCCTGATGATAGCTGATGACTGAAACAGCATGATCGAGTACCAGAAGGGCCAGATACCCGCAAGCGGCAAGCAAATTCTGGCTTTAGCTCAGCCGGCAATTTGTATTTGAAGCGGTGGCGAACCAACGGAGCGGTCTGATCGATTGAGTGCAGAAGCGAGAAAGACGGTGAGAAGGCAATGGTGGATCGTGTTGCTGAAGCTGTTCGGCCCAGGGGTCCTGTAGGGAAGGTGCAGACGCAAGGCGGAAGCCTTCTTGCCATGTGAGCACCGAGCAGGCGCACCTCTACATGCTGAACCTGGCCAACCCTCAAACACAATCTGCACTTGAAGATGCGAGTTCTTGCCTGGAGTGAGTCACAAGTATTGCCAATAGAGCCATGTGGGAACTTGGCACTTCGTGTTCAACGCTTCACGATGTAACCGCATGCCGGATATTTCAATCTCGGAAAGAGCAGCTTGGCACTAGACAATCGGCAGCAAGCACTTCTTGATTCATGTTAGATTTGCATTATCCAATATTCTGTTCCGGGACTACCTACACCGACGTGAACTCCCCTCAAAGGTGGTCATGATGCCCCGGATGAACGCCGCCAAAACGCCCTAAAAGTACAATTCCCGAGGTAGTAAAAGTCTTGCACGCCCCGCCTATGAGAGCGCGACTATCGTCCGGGAGCAAGACCTGGTACTGCGCTGAAGCGTTCGTCACGCTCAGTCTTAAAGAGAATCTGGCACCAGAATTCCTTGGCGTCTTCGTCGAACCAGAACCAGAACTTGCCCTCCCGTCTGTCGATGTCGCGAGATTGTAGCTTCACCGCGACCGTCTCGTAAGGCTCACCAGCAACAATGAGGTACTGGTAGTTTGGGTCGGGCTCTTCCACCTTCTGCTCGTATGCGCTCATGACACGGACCTTGGGAGTGATGCCGGGGGTGAGGTCCGGGAACTGGAACTGGAACAACAAGCCATTTTGGCGTGTGTTCGGGTCGCGTACTTTTGTAATGCGGTATCCAGGCCGACCGATCTTGATGACGTTCTTCTTGGGCAGTACACCCGCGAGGAGTCCTTGCTGGCCCACATCATCTCTTTTGCCTTCTCTCTGCTCCTTCGCCGCACGACGTGCCAGGTTTGTCTGATGCTTCCTTCCTTGTGTATGCGCGAGATAGGATCCATCGTTCTGGTGGACCGTCAAACAGAGACGGCACTCGAAGCTGCCGACGTGGTTCTTGAAGAAGTACGGGTCCTTGTCAAGGTCGATGGTCTCGAGTGCGAGCTTTCGGAGACGCTCTCGTCGGTCGGCATTCGTCGCGGACTGTGATGCGACACCACCGCCTCCAAATTTGGAGCCTGCGCGATTCTGTAGACGTTAGTAGCTGTTCCTGACCTTCGCGACGGGGGACGTACCTGGTAATCCATCTTTGAGAAACTTCACGATCTGCTGTGTCAATCTTGGTCGCGATTAGACAGGAAAGAGGGTGGCTTTTACGCAGGCAACGGTCAGGTGTTGGGCGGTGTAGAAGTCGTCGTGCTGAAGTGATGTTGCGCGACAGAACTTCTGGAGGCGTGCGACGCTAGTGTCCAGGTACCTGATCCCTGCACTTCGAGATCACGTGCGCGGCTGCCTTCACACATTCATCCCCACAAGCTATCACCTTTACTCTCGGAGGTTACGAGATAGCGTCAAATTTACAATAGAAGGGAAACAGATGATTGCGCCAGTCATGGCAACAGAAATCTACATAGGAAAGCGCCTCTCCTACGACGCCCACCTCTGCACAATCCGCTACCACGGCCCCATCCAAGGCACAACCGGCCTCTGGCTCGGCGTAGAATGGGACGAGCCCACACGAGGAAAGCACTCCGGCACACACCAAGGCACCCAATACTTCACCTGTCTAAACCCATCCCCAACATCCGCATCCTTCATCCGACCAACCCGCAAACCAGACCAACCACGCACCTTTGTGCAAGCGCTAAAGTCAAAGTACGCGTCTGAAGCTTTCGAGGAAGACTTCCAGGATCCAGATGTTCATGTTGTGTTTAACCATCAGCCGCCTGTGCAGCAGAAACAGAAGCCGGTGCTGTTCAATGGGAAGCCGGCGGAGGAGATTGGGTTCGATAAGATTAGGAGGCAGTTGGCGCAGTTGGGGGAGCTGAAGATTATTATTTTGGATGGGCTTTGTATGCAGAGGCCTGAAGCACGGGGACAGGGGTGGCTACGAGGAGGGGAGAGGAATGATGTCAATGAGGCATGTCCGAAAGCTATGGAACTTGATCTGAGCAGGAATCTCTTTGAGGAGTGGAGGGAAGTAGCCGCGATATGTGAACAACTACCTGGGTTGAGGAGCTTAAGGGTCGAGTGGGTTTTCTCCAAACTTGTTTCTCTCTTGACTATACTAATAGAAGGGCAGTGGTATACGTCTTCGCGATACATCTGTATCAGAACCAGAGCGAGCCCGCTGTCTTGACGCCTTCAAACGCATAACATCTTTGAAACTAGAAGACAACCTCCTCCCCTGGGCCGACCTCGCTCTCCTAACCCATCTCTTCCCCTCCGTCACAACCTTCTCCGCATCCAGCAACCTCTACACAAGCCTCACTCATCACGCCCTCAACCCCGCAATCACCGACCTTACACTCGAAGACAACCACCTCACCTCTCTATCCTCACTAGCCTGCCTCACAGGCCTCCCGAACCTGCACCGCCTCATCCTTAAATCGAACAAAATCTCCGAGATAACCAGTTCCGGCGCATCGATACCGGTTTTCTCCACCACAGTCCGAGAAGTCGACCTCTCGTTCAACGAAATCTCAACATGGGCGTTCATCGAACAACTCATACACGTCTTCCCCGGTCTCCGAAGCCTGCGCGTATCGCAAAATCCGCTGTATCAGTCGTTACAAGCACCGGATGGACGGAACTTGACAGCAGACGATGGATACATGCTTACGCTTGCACGACTGGGACAGCTCAAGACGCTGAATCACAGTCCCATCAATGAGAAAGAGCGACTGAACGCCGAGTCGTACTATCTCTCCATGATCGCAAAAGAAGTGCAGTTCGCGCCTGAAAACCTGCGAGAGCAGATATTGAAGAGTCATCCGCGATACGAGTGGCTGTGTGAGGAGTATGGCGAGCCGGATGTTCAGCGCTCTGTCAACGCTGTGAACCCCAACTCGCTTGCTGCGCGGTTACTCCGTATCAAGTTCTACCTTGCGACGTCCACAGACACGGTATTCGAGACGGAGATCCCGATGAGCGGCACGGCGTACACGGTTCTCGGTATTGTTGGGAAGCACTTCGGCATCAAGCCCATAAAGTGTAGACTGGTATGGGAGACGGGCGATTGGATGTCAGTGCGGAAATCAGCGACAGACATCGTAGATGATGATTGGGATTCTGAAGATAGCGAGGCGGAGATGGGTATGGAGCGGGTCATGAGGGAGGTGGAGATCGTTCCTGGGACGCGGTCGATTGGTACATGGATCGACGGGACAGAGGCTACTGTGAGGGTCGAAGTCAAGTCGTGACGGCTGACGCCGGAAAGTACTCCATCGATTTCGAGCAATGTGCGCTTCGTTAGCAGTTTATTCAGCGAAACCACCAGTTGGCCTGTACAACCGTTAGTAGACATACCCATACCAAGTTCCATACTGTACTCACCGAAGCATTCGCACCCTTTCCAATACCCCTAACAGCATGCCACCATCCATTAGGAATATATAGCGCATCCCCACCCCTCAGAGTTGTTTCCCAGCCCGTCGCACTCCCCATACTTCCGTCTCCATCCTCATTCCAAACCGCCATTTCCATAGCCTCCATCTCCGCACCCTGCATCATCTCCTCTCCTCTCATCTTCGCATCTCCGCCCGGTCCCCGTATATGCTGCCTTACAGCCTCGAACACCACCCGACCCACCCCAGGCTTCATCATCCTGATCGTTTTCTTGCCTGCCAGTTGTACGAAGAGGTTCGGGTTCGGGTCGCGATGTAATGGGGTGCGCGTAGGTGGCCTGCCCATCCAGAGACTCGATGCGTAGATATCGCCGCGGGCGTTGAGGTGGGATAGGAAAGTCGATGGCGTGGGTAGGTCTTCTTGCAGCGGCGCTGGAAGATCGGCTAGCGAGTGTTGCGCGAGGTACAAACTCGTTTCTTGCGCGTCCGCAGCACTCATGTGTTGCAATAGGAGAGCCAGAGGGGCTTCGAAGCGCTCAAAGGCTTCATTTCCGGGGGCATTTTCGGGGGATGAGCGCGTCAGCTCCAATGGCACGATCGCATCGCCGTACTGCTCGAGGTACGCTGTGTTCAGCTCTTGCGGATATCTGAATGTGTTGGGCTTATTATCCCACTTGTTTGTCAAAGATGCGTCGAGGAAGGCATCCTTCTTAAACCACTTCCGGATTGCAGGTATATCCAGAAAGGCTTTTTTGAAGAGCGCGGGTTGGTCGGGGTCGAATGCAGGTATGCTGAACTCCTTCTTCTTGTCCAGGTATTCCGTCTTCGTCAAGATCCGAAACCGCGGACATTTTGTTGGTCGTACATCTGGCCTTCTGCTCCAATGGCGAGGAACGGCAGGGGCCGGCTTCGGCATGGAGGTTTCGACTGTGGTGTGAAGGATTGCACGGATGCAGCTCGCTCGGGAGCTTGACACGCTCTCACGTTATCGTACCCCACACGAGCAGCAAGCACCCGCCCCGCCAAAACCTGCCCCTGGTAAAGTTTACATCGTCACAGACACCAGGAAGCTCAGCACCAGCCCACGCGTCACCAAAATGGCTCAAGCTCAGGGCGCACAGCCCGGTCAAAGTAATGGTATCCAGATCCCAATTCGTCGCGCATTGTGCTAACCCTCCCTCGCAGTCGAAATCACATCTCTCCCTGTCCCCCGCCTCCAGGAACTAAAAACCCAACTCGACGCCGAGCTTACCCACCTCTCCAACTCGTTCCAATCGCTGCGCACAGCCCAGTCCAAGTTCCGCGACTGCCTGAACTCCATCTCGACAGGCCTCACACCAGCCACCGTCTCGAAACCGCTCCTCGTCCCCTTGACATCCTCGTTATACGTACCCGGCAAACTCACGGATCATGAGCACGTGCTGGTGGATGTAGGCACAGGCTTCTTTGTGGAAAAGGACATTGCTAGTGCGAAAGACTTCTATGAGCGCAAGGTTAAGGATCTGGGCGACAGTTTGAAGGACTTGGAGGGTGTTGTGCAGGGCAAGGCGCAGAATGTCAGAGTCGTGGAGGAGGTCATCAGGCTCAAGGTTATGAACGCACAGGAGGGCAAAGCTGAGGAGCAGGGCAGCTGAAGTGTTGCGAGATAATGCGCAAACATCATGTTAGAAGACCAAAAGCCAGTGTCGGATCAGCCACATGCAGCACGAGTAGAAGCACGGCTGGAGCACCAAGCGGGTCTGTAAGAAGAGCTACGAGAGTCCATGGCCCAAGACTGGAGCCAAGTACTTGTGGTATTGGCATCACACTATATGAGAATGAAGTCCTCTGGTCTGCAGCCTACATCAAGATGAAAACATGCAAAGCAGATGACCTAACGTCAATGTAGCCTTCAGGATGTTCAGGTTTTCCCGTCCTTTAGATAGCGACGCCTCCCATGTCTGTGACAGAACTGACGATGGCTGATACCTGAAGCAGCTTGTCCATGAGGATGCGGATACCATCGCGTGGTGGTGCTTCAACGCCAGGGCCCAGATCGAGGTTCCTCATTCCGAAGTCCTCGTCCTCAACCGCGCTGGAGTAGCAAGACTGTCCGTCATCCGGCAGGAAGGTAGCCACAGTGTGACCCCAGTCGGCCTTTCGACCCACAGGGAGACGCTCAAGCTCAGCAAGATGGGTAGCCCATTCAGAGTGGCGGACACAGAGACCCCAGACGGGAAGTCTCTGTCCTGGGTACCACATACAAGTAGCCTCAACCTTGTAGCAGGTCTGCTTGATGCCGAAGGAGTATATAGTTTCCAGACGGCCGTTCCGTAGGTGCTTCTTGACGGTAGGTGTCTGATCCCACTCAGCGAAGCTTTCGGTGGAACGATAATCGTGGTTGGGTCTCATCTTGACTCGATCAGCGAAGCCAGTTATGACAGGCGATATGCTCTTCGCTGCCACAGGAATCAAGGACTCAAGGGCGAAGTGCCATCCTCGACTCTCTCCAAGCTCCAGCAGATTGATATCCATGTTCTTCTTTGGTGTTTTACGACCCTGATCGATCTTGTAGAACCGGGTTGTTGTCTTCTCGTACAAGCCCTCTTCGTCATCAGTCCAGTCGACCTGAACGACGATGAGTTCGGACTGCGGCGCTACAGATGAAGTGGTTGTACTAGCAGGAGCTTGGGGAGGCGCTTTAGGACGTCCAGCATGGCGCACAGCTACCGGCTCCCGCGGTGGGGCAACAACGCTGCTGGGGTCTGTGAACACCCACGTTCCTCGGAACATTGGACGAGTGCCTTGCAGCGATTGTGGCGTATAACCGAAGTAGGCAGAAGACTTCGTGGGCTCCAAGAATTCATCGGACGTGCAGAGTGCTCCCAGAATTTGCGAACCCAGTGCATCATCAGCAAGCCTATGTTGTTAGCCATTATGCTAGTCGTCACGAGGGGACACACTTACCACTTCTTTATCTCAACTGTAACAGGTCCGTTAATCGACTTCAAGAAGATATCCTTCCCGAACTTCTGGCCAATCTTATCCTCCTTGATATGTCTTGAGCTCAGAGCCAGGCACCCTAGCCGAATAGCCATATCGTACGCGCCTTTCGTGTGGCGCACAGCTTCAAGGGCCAGCTGAATTGAATGCTGGATCTTTGAAAGCTGCGTGAAGTGCATGATCTCATTGCGGAAGCTGCCGGAGGTTTCCATCATCCCACTGGAGAGGAGGCGAGGTACGACTCGATCTTGACTGATGTTGAGCAAAAGAGGTCAGCACTCGTCTGCAGTTCACGCTTGTAATTCACGTACAGGTTCGGCCACCACGCGTCAGCCTCCTCCAGAACAACCTCCAAGCCCTCTTTTTCATCAAGAATCATGTTGATTACATGCTGCAGTCCCATAGCATCAGCTTTGACTTTGTCGATCATTGTCATGAGATGCGCTTCGGCCGCTTCGATGCGCGCTATGTCGCGGGCTGTGAAAGTCAGTGTGTATCGCATGTAGTAGATATATGATGAACCTGCCTTGTATCTCTATCTGCCAAACGTCGTTCTGAGTAGGAAGAAGCGTTATGTACACCTCGTTCTGAGTCCGAATGGCGTTAAGCGCTTCTAGCTTGTTATTGAAGACATCGCGAGGAGTGACACCTTCGTTGAGGAGGTCCTCCGGCCAGCACACGATGATGCTCGCCAGTGGCATCTCGCCTTTTGACACCTCAGGCGCCTTGCCCTTGAATTCGTCCTTCCGCTGACGCTCTCGCTCTTCAATGCTGTCGTAGTACCATTTGTTATGATCGAATGCAGGTGTCTTCGCCCATGATGATGAGTCTTTTGACTTGATATGCGCGTTAGAGATCCAGTGGTTGATGTATCGGACGGCTTTCTCAACGCCTGCACCTTGTCCAGCAATGGCGAACTGAGTGATATACCCAGCGTCCCATTTGGGGATGACATCGCAGCCAGTGTTGATCTTGATCTCGTTGACGATGAGCTCGCGTTCTGTAGTATGAGTGAGGCGACGGTACTCCGGGGGCACCGGAATGAACCTTTTTGGCTTGGGCTTGGGCTTTGGTAGAGCGCCAGTGTCCTGTCCGTCCATCGCTGCGGCCTCTTTGTCGTATGAAGAACTAGAAGCAGTGCCAACGTAGCGGCGTCGGGGTGAGAGGACTGGCAGTGTTGTGGTGTTCGTCGCTGCGGAGATAGGTCAAGGTGACGCTGAATTGGAAAGAGCAAACGCGCGGTGGCGCTAGTGCGCTTGCGTATACAGCCTCAGAGCGCACCTGCCTTGTCCCATTGTGTGTTCAAGGTGAAAGTTGGGGAAATGTGTGAGTACGGTTGATCTATACCCAGAGAGCTTTGTGATATGCTTTAGGAGCGGGGTGTCAGCGAAGGCACCCAGGCTGTTGCGCTGCACATCCTCTATGACGCAAGAAGAGCTCGAACGCAACGCAATGGTAGAGCAAGCTCAGAAGCGTACTCCATGTCAGTATCACCAAGGAAATCGTGTGCAATAATGCGGGAAGCTTGGTTGATGAAGAAGTGATTGTACTAATGGAGATGTTGTAGAAGCTGAACATGAAACGAGGGAGAATGATATGAGGAGATCTACGACAGAATGAGAGAAGTATCCTCTTAGTATGGGTGAGGGGGAAGGTCTACTACTTGAAGACACTGTCGTCTAAGGTGGCCTGTTATAGAGGAGGGAGAGCTCTCTCCTGCTACAAGGGGTTGAGCACGTCACCAAAGCCACACGTGCAGCCCAGGAAGACGCATCCACGACAGAGATGCTTCGGGCGATAATAAGCAGATAGACCTTTGATGTTTAGGTAGTTGCATCGTATCGCGCAGAGCTGTTGGCTGGCAAATATGAGTGACGAGGTAGGCTAAGCAGCACATGAAAGATCACGCAATCCATCCATCTGAATTCAAAAGTCATGTGGTCGACAGACAAAAGAGTACTCCTAACAGAGTATCGAGCAGGAGCGATGGAAGAAGTCGTGGGCAAGGCTACCGAAGTTGAGAAAGGCTTGGCGGGCATCGGCGTTTGCGGAGCGACTCCCGATCCATTTTCTGAGCATCGCGAAAGCCATTACAACTCGATATAGCGCATCGTCGCGCTTTGCACTCCTCGAAAGCGCTGTAGCACTCCCTATCGAACCTAGAAATCTTTGCGACCGCTGGCAATTGGAGAGTCTGGACCTCATCGCCCCGCCACCATGGACGCCGTGCCCATCACAAAAAAGCTGATAGCCTTCGGCAGCAACAAGATATACCTGTACGTCACGGCGATGTCTCATTTACGCTCAAGGCTGACACGATCCAGCCCTAAATTCACAGTGGCGTTTCTTCGCACGCCCCAACTCTCCCCATACCATGCCCGCTTCCAGGTCCCGCTAGACTTCTCCAAATACGACCTCCGCGACTACCTCTACCACGCCTACAACGTCAAATGCTTCAACATCCGCTCGTACGTCAAGCAAATGCCGGTACGCGATACGCGCGAACAACCACGGCATTGGTTCCGCGAGGAATCGAAGAAATACATGACAGTAGAGTTGGAGCAGCCATTCGTCTGGCCTGAGACACCCGACCTCGAACCATGGGGCAGGAAAGACAGGGAAAGGGAGATTCGGGATTCTGTGAAGATGGGCGGGGCAATTGACCAAAACGACACGCGGGAAGCAGCCAGGACGCTTCGAGAGCAAGTGAAGAAGTTACTACACAAGAACGTTTCCAAGCCGAATCGCGAGATACAGAAGAAGAAGGCAGCGGCTATGGAGCTTACGCCAGAGGAGCTTGAGTCGGAGATACTGAGGAAGCGGGAGGCGTCAAATCTAAAGCGCATGTCAAGATTAAGGTTGTGGGCGAAGGAGAGGACAGGAAAGACCGTCGAAAGCGACAAGCCTCGGCGATACGCGATCAAGGTTTGAGAATGATCTTACGCTTTGTATATATGCGTGTAACATATGTATCGGGACGGGGCAGGAAACCACCAATTAAGAGCTACACGTACTGATAACCTTCCTGGATACTGCGAACACTTGGAATGGGCCATCATCAAAGCAGCCAGTTGCGGCACTCTAAGCTGCAGTCTCATCGTCTTCCGTTCTGGGGTCCACAGAGTGCTTCGTAACCCTTCTTCCGTTCTGGGCTATTCGATGTTACTCGGCTCTAAATTTGACGCTAACGATCGAACAGGTAGTCGAATGGCGAGGCTGGAAGGGTCGCGGAGCCATTGAGCTGCAGTTGGATGTAAGCTTGCGCCTTCCTTGGCTGCATGTGGACTGCATCAATGACCCTCTCCGCCATTTTCATTCGACCACCCTAAAAGGAGCGTGATACGAACATGGAGAAATATACAACTCCAGTATCTTTGGCACTCGCGCTTATCATGTCGCAGTTACCGCCATTCTCAATGTACCTTCACTGAGCACTCTAACACTTTACTCACTCCTTTTCCCACGCCACCCAGCCCGAATTGCGCAGCTTAACGAAATCACCGAAATGTAGTTGCGCTGCATAATTACACAGCGGCATGTATTATTACAACCCGAGATGAGCAGACTTCGCATCCGTTACCAAACATCAACATGTCTTTCGGATTTGCTGTTGGTGATTTCATCACTGTTGCAAAACTGATAAAAGAAACTATCAGCTGCCTGCGGTCTGTAGGCGGGGCTGAATCGGAGTACCAGGAGCTGGTCAAAGATCTCAAAGCACTCGATATCTCATTACACCACCTCGATCACATCGACGACGACATGAATGCAATCGCTCATGTTAGCCCGATCAATATTGCGACCACAAACTGCAGGCTACGACTTGAAGGATTCTTGTCAAGAGTCAAGAAGTATGAAAGATCTTTGGCCTCCTCTAGCCATCCATCGATACTGAGGGCTACATCAGACAAGCTTGGTTGGCATTTTGGTCGGAAAGATCAGGTCGAACAACTCCGACGAGACATTCATATCTGCCACAGTATTGTCAGCCTGCATCTAGCCCAACACAGTCTTGAGCGCCTGGAGATCCTGCGTGCAACAACCGAGATCGACTTTTCGCATATATCTGAACAGCTATACCATACCCGGACCGTTCTCGAGCACATCAATAAAGAGAACATGAATCAAGCGGTCGTTTTGAGCGATGTCCAAACGTTGCTCCAAGACATACATCAATTCGTCTTTGGTGACATCAAACTGTATTTGATTCGTCTCCTCCAGCTCATCAGCAGTACCTTGTACGTACAACAAATATAGCATAGTTTAAACCTGAGCTGACTTTCCTGTTCAGTACGTCCACGCAGCAGATTTACGAGATCTTGCTTGATATCCGGAACATCATATCGGTAGACACACGCTGGACCTTCTTTCAGGCTCCTTTGGAAGTGGAAGATGCCTTCGGAGTCAAATTTCCCATTCCTACAGAGTACGATTACGACCTGATTGATACCGTCATTCGCCACCGGTTCAAAATTGGCGGGTGTTCCATGGAGGTGAAGATGGGAAATTTCGAACTGTGTAGGAAACAGGACCATCTTGACGTCATTACCGAGTCCTCACGTCTCCAGCCTGGAACTGCCATCACGATGTTCATAATCGTGAGCACCGGGATCATTAAGGAAGCAGCACGGCCCATACTTCGTTGCGAGTCGGCAGAGATTGTTCCGTGCCCCGGAGGGGGGTTTGGATGGTAAGTACATTCTCAGTCCATTCGTGAAACTTCACTAATGCGGTTCATAAAGCTCGAACCTTGATTTAGAGCTCTATCAGGCTACCGACTTGTTATCAAACATTGAAAACGTCCGCAGCAGTAGCGCAGACTTTTTCCAGCTTCTTACACTACTTCCACTTGCCCACAACCGACCATCCAATGCAGTCTGTTACAATTTTATGGAGCGAACTCTGCGGAAAAACGTCCGATTCGATCCTTTTAGAGATTCCGACTCAGTCTATAGCCCTGTTCTAGAAGATATCGCCAAGATAGACGGTGTTATATCCTGCCCTAGTGTCTCTATAGGAGGTATGGTAGACGGCAGATTCTTTGCGACGTTACAACTTGAGCTTGAACAAAACCTCGAGAATATGACACCACGTTGCATGGAGGTTGGACTTCAGCTCCGTAAGCGTCTTGATCGTTACGGAATCCACGCGTCTGGTGTTCATTGTCACGTTGCTGGCAAACGTGTCGACGCCTTAGGATGACAGAAGTAGTATCGCATGCGACTCACGCAGTATGATATATCAACAAGTATACAGTGCCTTTTTTGCAGGCATCAATTTTGAGAGCGGACCTAGTCGTGACTTCCAGTCTTACCACGTGGCGCACCTGCACTTTTCACTTTAGCACGTCTGCGCTTTCCTCGCGCCTTTGTTGTTAACGTCGCTAAGTGCACATTTCAATCGCAAACCAGCCGTCTTCATTGATGCTTCTACATCTCCATTTTCGTGATGTAGGCTGTTAGTGCCCAATGAGTCTGCCTGCAGCAAGGCTAGGAGTGGTGGCGGGCTGCTTGACCTGCAGCACAGCCCCCCAAGCTGGCGGTTTCGCTCTCCAAGCTTGTTTATGACCGCGCAGCAGTCGCATACCTCGAATCTTTCCTTTCTCCGTTTCGCACTCCGTGCCTAACATCAGGCAAGTTGTTCGGCGCTCTACTCATCTACCACCTAGGTATCTAGCCCTTCACAGATAGAACTGCGACGATCACTGCACTTATCTACACGACCTACCGGGATAGACACGCTTCGCGCCACTTATATCGCACGGCCATGCCTCTCAGTGTCGGTATCGGAGATGTCATAGCGGTCGGCAAACTCATCAAGGATATCACTGACTGTCTGCGATCTGCTGGTGGAGCAAAATCGGAATACCAGGAACTCATCAAGGAGCTTGAGGCGCTCAAAACTGCCCTAGATGGTCTGGACCAACTCGACAGCAGCGCAGCCCCCTCAGCACTTCTTGACACAATCAAGTTTGTCGCGGCGGACTGTCGCCATCGACTTGAGGAGTTCTGGGCGAAGATCAAGAAATACGATTCGTCCCTAGGCCCCGCAAGTCGATCCAACGCTCTGAGAGGTACCATGGATAAGCTCGGCTGGACGTTCTGCCGGAAAGAGGAAGTTGTGCAACTTCAGAGAAACCTCCAGTTCTACAGCAGTGTCATCAACATGCACCTAATACGGCATGTCGCTGGTCAAGTTCAAGATATGAGGAAGAATACTGATGCAGTCTGTACGCAGATCGCTGAGCGAATCCGTGACACACAAGATACTCTCACAGACATTGGCGATAATGTATCTAGCCAAGGAGCTGTAGCGAGTAACATCCAGACACTGGTCACTGGGCTGCATCAGTTCGTATTCGGCGAGGTCAGATCATTCCTGGCCGACTTCGGGCAGTTGGTGAACAAAGTCTTGTATGTGCGTTCCTTTAGTGTACACAAGCGGAGCTGCCAAGTAACCAGCCACCACGCAGTGCCTCGACCCAGCAAATATACGCCGTTGTTCTCGAAATTCGAGATTTGGGAAGAGCTGTGAATACCGACTGGACTTATTTTCAAGACCCATTCGTCGTTGAAGATCCCTTTGGTCGCAAGTTCCCAGTCCCGTCGGAGTTTGACTACGATATGCTGGACACGATCGTTCGGCGGAGATTTCAACCCGGTGTTGGCTCGCAAGATGTTGCTCAGGGTAACTACGAATATTGCAAAGCGAATACAAGGTCCGCAACGATCACATCATCTTCACGGCTTGCACCCGGCATAGCTATCGTGATGGTTCTCCTTGTAGCCGCAAGACGTAACAGGCCTTGTCCTAGGCCTATGTGCAGCTCTGTACAAGCTAACCCTTGCCCTAGCGGAGGGTTTGTTTGGTAAGCTGCGTTATCAAAAGCTATCGCAATTAGTGATGATAACGAGTCTGCAGTTCTATTTGTGACGTGCGGTTTGATCAAAGCACAAAGAAAAGAAACGAGGAATGCGGAGAGCACAGCGCATCTCGTATGGCGATGGAGACTTATCTCAAGGAGTATACAGGCGGAATAGATTTTGGGGACTTGAAACAACGGATCATCAGCTGCCGCAGCAGAGAAGAGCTGGAATCGCTGAGAAACGTGAAGGTCACATCGGTGAGTAATCTTCTGGAGTTAAAGATAACCCTTAAAGACAGAGATTTGAGTTGAAGGGTCGACGTCAAGGCCTCAGCCTGTGTTGTGAACTGTAGGATACCATAGTCGCGTACTGCGAGAATATCGTTTATAGTACTCACTTTACTCGCCATAATATGAACAGGAGGTGAAGGCCGCTTCTCACCACGTGGCACACTTGCGCCTTCCGCTTCAGCACACTGACGCTTTCCTGGCGCCTACGTACCACCACCTCCCTCGCCTTTGATCCCCACGTCTTTCATCCCACACCAGCAAGAAATCGCATTCATGGCCAACCACAGGGCGATGCAAGAGATGAGCCGTCTCGAGGACCTGCAACTGCAGCGCGAGCTCAAGCAGAGCGTCCTTGGTATGTCACTTCCCATTTTTCCGCTGCCGGAAGGCGCTGTAGCAGACTCTCCAATACTGACTGCGCAACAGAATACATCATCGACTTGTACCAACCAGCCTACCCCAACAACCATGGCTTCTCCATCCTCATCTGCCGCCACGTATTTGACCGCTCCTCTTCCATCCCCGCTGCTGCCGCCTTAGGCCGCCGCAACGATAGAGCAGACGAGTTCATCATGATACGCGCGGTTACACTCAGCGAGCCCGGAACGAAGAAGTGGACGCTCGTGGCTGAGAGCAGCAGGGCGTGCTTCGGTATCGTACCTGCGTTGCAAGAATTCTCGAAAGACTTGGAGCGCCAGATGGGCAACATGACGGCCTCGATGACTGTAGGAAACAAGAGGCAGCGCAGTGACAAGGACGAGGGCTCGAACGATCAAGGTGAGTACATCTCAGGTTATCAGCGCAAGAGGCAGAGATAGAGAGCAGGACGTGAGCTAGCAATCGCTGGCAGCTGAGACTGGTGACATGGCTTGAATGCGATAACAGGTTTGACCTGCAAAAAACAACGCATGTACATGTTACTCTATGTTCGGCGATGATGCAGAGATGTGCGTTTCAAATATCGAGAAGAGAATGGGAAAGGTTGTCGCACTTGTGTGAAACAATGCAGCTAGTACGATGTCAAGAAACTCGCCTCACCTAGGCAGATCGTAGCGACTAAAAATGGCACATCATGAAGATATATCGTCATTTACGTGATAAAATTCAAGGAAGAAAAGTATGTAGTTGGGCATCTTTTGACAACTGACAGGTAGTACCCGGTTTTTCCGTAGTTCGGGCCAATGTTCAGGTGTCAGGCCACGGATTGACAGGTGTATCCTCGCATGTTCGCTGGAGTTCCATGTGCCTGCCACGGGTGCCGGCCAATGACAGCTGACTCACGTGGCGTTCTGTACATAGCACCCCTACACGCAATGGCACCGGGCTTCGTCATCGAGCCTGAGTGCTGCCGAGCTGGCCAGGTGCAGCACCGAAACTTGGAAGAACGACTGAGACGCAGCGAGACATGTGGAGTTGAGAGACGCCGCCATGCAGATGGGCAGAATAAGCATTACCTCACGGCAGCTGTCGTTGGGGGCGTCGCAACGTAAGATGGACAGAAGTGAGGCACCGGTCAGGTTCCGGAGGCGGCCGGAGAGGGGCTATGTCGAGCAGCACGTTGAACATGTTCGCAGCGAAAAGACCCCCAAAGCGTGCGTCGGTGAGGGATGCCGGTCAGAAAAGCTGCGCAAATCATGAGACCTAGCCGGGTTGGACAGGCGCTTCTCGTTGGGCGCAGCAGGTGGTGGCAGAAGAATTGGGCTTGGCTGCCCGGCTGGCGGCAATGACATCACTCGCACGCTCTGTGCCCTCAAGACGGCTGCCCACCCCAGCCTCAAGCAAACGGTAATATCTACGCCACCCCACCTGCACCGAGATAGATCCTTGGGACCCAAGCCAAACGGACAGTCATCAGCCCTGGCCCTCCCGAGTCGACAACCTGTTAAATACCACTGCCTGCCTGTGCCCTGCGCCGCTCGACACCCCATTCCCCTACCCACTTTGTCCCGTCACTTCGCAGGCACCTTATTCTTCGTTGCGACAGCCCACCAGCCTCTCACTTGCGCTAGCCGCCAAGTAAACTCTATCTGAACAAAGCGACCACTCGGTATGTTTGCACGCCGCCGCTCTCTTTTTCCCCTCGCGCGCCCGCTAACCCAGCCCTGCGCAGAATACCGGACTGGATACGACCCTTCCTGCTGCCGGACCCCTAGAGCCACAATCGCCCACGGCGGTATAGAGCACCACCACCATCACTATGTCTGAGTACAGCTACGCACCGCGGCACCGTACTCGGGAGCCCGAGTACGTCACCGAGACCACGTACATTGAGCGCGGCGGCCGTGGAGGCGGGGCACGAGATCTCGTCTACCGCCCCGCAGCGCGCGAGGACAGCATCGAAGAAATTCCCCGCGACTTCCCTCCCGGTGCCGAGTATAGGCAGACCAAGTACCGCGAGGAGTATGCGCCGCCCCGCCGCACCCGCTCAGTGAACCGTGGCTACGACGACGACTACTATGACCGTCCCCGCCGACGTGACCGCGACTACGATGACCGTTCCGAGTACTCCGAGCGCCCCAACATGCAGCGCCGCAAGTCCATCGTCGACAAAGTCAAGGACTTCGGCGAGTCAGCTGGCCTAGGCGGCATCATCGGTGCCGTCACTGGCGGCGGTCGTGACCGATCGCGCTCCCGCCCCCGTCGAGACGACCGTGGCTATGATAGCGACAGATACGGATACTACGACGAGCGCGACCGCCGAAGCAGCCGTTACGGATCACGTTCGCGCAGCCGCAGCCGAGGAGGACACAAGTCTGAGAAGTGGGAGCAAGCCGCCAAAGCCGCTATCGTCGCCGGTGCCGTCGAAGCCTTCCGCAGCCGCAAGGAAGCCGGTCCATGGACCGGTGCCAAGGGCCAACGTGTTGCAACTGCCGCTCTTGGTGCTGCCGGTATCGACGGTCTCATTGACAGAGACCCCGGCAAGCACGAGAAGAGACACGTCGCCGAGTCTGCACTCGGTGGTCTTGTCGCTTCTCGCCTAGCCAACGGCTCTCGCTCGCGCTCCCGTGCTCCTCGTGGCCGTGACGACTCCAGGTCTCGCTCCCGTTCTCGTGCCAGGTCCAGGTCCAGGTCCATCTTCGGACGCTCTCGCTCTCGTGGCCGCTCCCGCTCCAACTCCAGCGATAGAGGAGGAAACAACGGTATCGCCAAGGTAGCTGGTACCGGTGCTGTGCTCGCAGCAGGCAAGGCTCTATACGACCGTGTGCGCTCCAAGTCTCGTGCTCGAAAGGACCGATCCCGCTCTTCCAGCTCGGACAGCTACGTACCATCACGTAGGGGCAACCGCCGCTCGTACAGCCGAGGCCGCGGTATGGACGACCAGTATTCCGAAGCCCCTTCCAGGACTAACCCAGATCGCAGACTAGCCGCCGCCGGTGGGGCAGGAGCGGGTGCTCTAACAGCACAGAATGGAGGAATGGATCGGGGTCGACGGGATTCTAGCGCGGATTCTGAGTCGTCCACCGATATGGAGGAGAAGCGCAAGAAGCTACGAGGTAAGGAACTCCTCACTGCGGGTCTAGCCACTGTGGCCACCATCCACGCCGCCCACGGAGTCTACTCTTCCATGGTTGCCTCGGAGAACCGCCGCAAGCTTGTTGGCGAGGGCGAGATGACGGCCGAAGAAGCGCGCAAACGCAAGTCCAAGAACATGCTCCAGGACGCCGCCGCCGTGGGTATCGCCGCCCTCGGTATCAAATCCGCCTACTCGGAATGGAAAGAGATGAACGAGCAACGCCACAGCGTCAAGGAACTCGAGACTCGCCGCCGCAAGAGGAGAAAGCTCCGTGAACGCCGCGAAAAGGAAGCCCGGATGAACGCCCTCGGTGGCAACATGAATGGTGCAGCCGCTAATCCGTACGCATATCCTGTAGCTGCCAACCAATCCTACCCTACGTCCTATGCCGATGCGAATCCCTACGGTAGCTCGGTCCCGCCCCCGCCCATGGGTGCGAGGTACTAGAGCTTCTTTTTTCTTTGGTTTACTCACGATGGTTATTCACGACACGGCCGACTTGTTTACTCGTGTACTGCGGTGGATGATAGAAGTATTGTTACATACCTTTTTCTTATTCTGTCTTTCAGAAAGCTTGTTAAGCGAGGAGGTGAATGTTATTGTTCTTCTTTTTGAGCAGCTCCATTCTTTTGTTTTCGCGACTCTGATGATTGACGATGGATGGAGGCGACTTCTTGGGTTCGGAAGGAAAGAGAAGAAGTGTTTTTGGTTGATGCGACAATCGAGTCTTCTGGCTCACACATGAATGATTCACGACATGACTTTACGAAATGAAGATAGATATGAAATGGAAAACGGTCTCTTTGTACATGCGTTCTGGTTTGCACGTTTTTGTTTGGGACTTCGTGACGTATCTTGACGAAAGACCGAGCTCAGCTGCGACATGTTCGCTTTTGGGTTGGTACATTCACAGATTCGATGTCATGCGGACGAACTCTTGCACACGACCATTGAACAAGACTTTTGATTCAGGACATCCGTCCTACTCCCAAATCTCCAAAAGCTAAGAGAAAGAGGCTATGTGATATGTGATGCCAAACTAAGATAAGCAAAGGGAAATGTCCAGGCATCCAGGCCTTGAAGACTCCGCCACCGGAGGTATGTGAATATAGTCGAACGCCAGAGAATGTGCAGGGGAGATAAGGTAGATGACCAAAAGATATACAAAGGGGATATGTGTTGTGGAATGGAGGACCAAAACCAAGTTGCCGTCGACACCATGTGTTTCGCCGTTCAAGCACCCTCATCATCGCTGATGTCTTCGTCAAAGTCGGGTTCGTCGACCGCCCAGAGGATGAAGGGGCCATTGTACTCCATCTAGCGTTTGTTAGTACATGTCCATCGAAAGCAGGAATGAGATGTCATGGGCAGGTGGTACTTACATCGTTACGACCCGGCTCTGATGCAAACCACCAGCGGCCTAGGATGATGCGGCCACCAGGCAAGACAACGCCCTCGTACGCCCAGAGATTATCCTCGTTGGGGTGGTCGTAGTCCTCAGTGAAGTGCTTCATGAAGGTGATGCGCTGCCAGCCAGGGACACCACCTTGAGGGGGCAGTGGGTTGAGCCAGCCAAGGGCCTTGTACTCGTCATCGAGGTCTTCGCCCTTGCCCTCGAACTGAATGCTACCGCCTGTAGTTGCCTTGGTCGTTGCGCTCCGACCCTGAGTCTTGATGCCTTGCTTCTTTCCAGCGTCCTTCCCAAGCGAGCGAAGGCGGTCTTCGAAGACGGGTGGCCATGGGAGCTCGCGACCATCGGGTAGGCGACTGTCTTCTGCGAAAGTAAGCTCGAGAGACTGCATGTGATCAGTAGGGTTCGTGAAGGCCATTCCCAATTGGAAATCTACCTGGATCTTGCCCTCGTCCACGTTCTTGTCAATGAAGACTTGTCTGCCTGGTCCCTGCTTTCGCAGCTTCTGAACCTCAATGTTCTCAAGGAAGGAGTAGGTACCCTTCCAGTACCTGCTCAGAGGCTTGGCTCCGTCGGTGAGTTGTTCTCTCCACGCCGAAGGCTTCTGGGTAACGTCTAGCTCATCGATCCTGTCGAACAATGTTTGGGCATCTTCGTTCATCATGTGGTGACGGAAGAAGTTCATCGCGTGCAGCATCCACCTGAGGTTCAACTTGTTGTGGTCATCTCCGGTGAAGAGGCGTTCCTTGTCGGATGAGAGGTAGACAGCGTGCTGTGAGTCCTCAAAAGCAAAGACATCATGTCGCAAGCCTTCGAGGTTGAAGATGAACTGCGAGCACATGAGCCGGACAGCGGCAAGCCCATCGTCGATATAAGCCATCTTGCCGTTTTGG